TCTGAATGGGGGCAGCTGGGCTTAGCCCTCTGTCCTCTGACACCACTCTCTCCCCTCGTCTGTCCTGACAGGCCCTGAGCATTCCTCTGACTCCGAATATACTCTCTCAGAGCCGGATTCTGAAGAAGAAGAAGATGAGGAGGAGGAGGAGGAGGAGACCACTGATGATCCTGAATATGACCCGGGCTACAAGGTGAAGCAGCGCCTTGGGGGAGGCCGGGGAGGCCCGTCTCGCCGGGCCCCCCGTGCAGCCCAACCCCCAGGTCCCCCAGCCCAGCCTTGCCAGCTCTGTGGCCGCTCACCGCTTGGGGAGGTCCCACCGGGCACCCCACCTTGCCGGCTCTGCTGCCCTGCTACAGCTCCCCAGGAAGCACCAGCCCCTGAAGGGAGGGCCCTCAGGGAGGAAGAGGAGGAGCCACCCCGAGCTGGGGAGGGACGGCCAGCTGGGCGGGGGGAGGAGGACGATGATGAGGAGGAGGGCACTTACCACTGTACAGAGTGCGAGGACTCCTTTGACAACCTCGGCGAGCTCCACGGCCACTTCATGCTGCATGCCCGGGGTGAGGTGTAGGCAGAGCCCCCCACCCAGGGAGCTGGGCAGAGGGTTGGGGTGGGAGGAGGGGGCTGAGGAAGCCAGCTGGTCATGGGGAGTGGGGTACCGCTGATCTGTGTTGTCTTAGTAGTAGACATGTGAAGGCCGGAATAAAAGGCAAATTCTGTGTGTGCTGGCCTAGCATGTGTTTGGTGGGGGGTGCGTGTGTGTGAGATATATGATACACACCTGGGCCTTTATCCCCACCCCCACCCCAGGCTTCTCCTTGTGGCACCTCAGGGTCACTGTGGCCAGGATAACTCTCCACTTCCTAACCGCTGGCCATCTGTGTGGTTCATGTATTTACTCGTAGACTCCAGGATGAAGAGGCTCCAACACAACAGAATTTTGTTTCTCACTCATTTAATAGTCCCAGGTGGGTGATTTGGTAACCAGGCTGCCCCTTAAGACTATCATCACCCACACAGGGTGGGTGGCCACACTTGGGCCCCACTGGTGGGGGAGGACAAGGAGCCTGGAAGTTCTTCTGCGAGCCCTGGCCTGCCTTGACCAAGGAGCCAACCGCAAAGCAACCTGGGAAAGGCAGTCTAGTCAGGCCCCAGAAAGTAGGATATGGTTTGTGGGGGACAGCTAGTGTCACATTGCCTGAGCACCTCACAAAGAGGACTGCCATCAGAATCATACAAGGCTTTGCAAGCATTTCCTGAGAGTCTGGTTCTGGGCCAACGGCTTAATGTATATGGACTCCGAAATTATGCATCTAGGAACTTACAAAAATAGAAACTTCGTGATAATTCTAGCTCCCATCTTCCCAAGACTTGAACAGTGCTGTACTTTATTTGCATGAGATCATTTGGTTCTTGAAATAACTTTGTCAAGTAGGGATTGTAATGCATTTCGTTTAACAAATAATTTTTGATCACCTACTGTGTGCTAAGCAATGAGAATGCACCAGTGAATAAGATCCTTGTGTTCGTGGAGTTGATGTGGGGTGAGTAGGGGCTGCCGCTGGAGACAGAAAACAAATGAGATACAGCAAACGCTTGATGGTGGTAAATGCTGTAGAGAAAATAAAGGAGAGGGAGAGAGGGGAGAACAGTTCTGGAAGGGGTTGCCCTTTTAAGTAGCATAGTCCTCCCTGAGAAGGTGACCGAGACCTGAAGGAAGGAGGGAGGGAGCCGTGCTTGTGGGTGGAGGAGAGAGATGCAGTTGAGTGGAGTAGGAGCCTGCCTGGGATGTCAGGGAGACCTGAGCGACAGCAAGGGAGGGAGGAGGGCCGAGCTGAAGGATGAGTGAGGGTCAGAGGGTAGCAGAGGGCTGGCTCATCGCAGCCTTGGTGAAACCTGGGCTCTCTGGGATGGGAAATACTAATTGGCAGAGGATTGGCACCAAAGCTGCTTTGAAAAATAGACACCTAATTATGATAGTTACCGTTTACTGAACATCTATATGTGCCAAGCCGTGTTCTCGGGTGCTTTACATGGGTTCGCTCATACAAGCCTGGCAACTAAGAACCTCCAAGAATAGACCTGAATTACCATAATGGCGTCATTAAGTCAGCACTGCCAGCGGACCAGGCCCTGGGCTAAGTGCTTTATGTGAACAAATATGTGGGATCCTTAGGAGGTAGGGACTGTTGTGGTTGTTTCTCATTCATTCAGCCATGCTTTATCAAGTACTTGTGAGAGGCAGGCACTGTTCTGGGAGCTAGGAATGCCGCAGCGAACAGAAAAAAACCCTCTGCCTTCACGGAGGTTATGTTACAGTGGGGAAGACAGTAAGCAGATGATTAAGTAAAATATACCAAATGTGTAGAAGGCAGAAGAAATAGGAAGCGCACTGGGAAGCTGGTGTGTGGAAGGTTGTAGTGTTCAACATGGTGGTCAGGGTCCACTGAGGTCAAGTACCTGAGAAGGTGACATCAAATCCAGACCTGGACAAGGGAAAGGAGTGAGCCACTGGGCTGTCTGGGGAAACACTGAGTGCAAGAGTCTGGGGGGGCCTGCTTGGGATGTGTGAGGAAGTGCACGAGGCGCTATGAGGCTGGAGTTCTGGGAGCAAGGGGAGGACTGGTAGGTGAGGCAGCGCAGCAGAGGGCTGTGCCATGTCGGCCGTGGCACCTTGGCTTCCTCTGAGTCCTCGTAGTAACACAGGGGCAATTTTCATGACCATTTTATAGCTGCTGTAGCAGGAGTGTACAGCCATTGAATTACCTGCTAGAAGTCACACAGCCAGTGAGAAGCAGAGCTCAGGTTTTAACCCAGACGACCTGGTGCAGGGCATAGGTTCCACTACTAAGCTGCACACCACTGTGGCTGCCCACACCTAGTCAGGCTGACTTGAAAGGATGTAGCTGTCTCTATTGAGGGCTTATTTTTTGCAGTGTTGAGGATTCAAACTAGGTGCAATTTACTACTGAGCTACAATCCCAATTATTTGTTTTATTTTTTATTTTGAGATGGTCCTCCTAAGTTGCTGAGGCCAGCCTGGGACTTGTGATTCTCCTGCCTCAGCCTCCTCTATAGCTGGGATTACCGTCACACACCACCATGTCTGGCTAGCTACTGAAGTTTTTAAGATCACATTGATTACCAACATTGAAAATTGGGAAATTTCACATAAAAATGGAAGTTTCTGCCTTCTTGAAAAATTATGAGTGGGACTCCCTCCCATGAGGCAGTAGTTTGATATACTGAGTGGGGGCCACCTCCTATGGGAGAAGCATTCATTCTGGGGTGCCCCATGCCTGACCTGCCTGGCACAGAACACATTTGATACCTGTTGTAGGATCTTGGACCAAAGTGTCTTTCAAAATCCACACTTCTCATCCAAGTCACAGAACCTGACATCTAATCTTTGAAATGGAACTTCTATAACCTTTTTCACTGATCATCACAAAATCTGAGGTGTCAAGGCATAAATTCACAGCTGGTAAAAACAAGATGTTTTATTGTAACAAAATACCTGAGACTGGGTGCCTTAAAAAGATTAAAAATGCATTTCTCACAGTTCTGGAGACTAAGTACCATCAACATCAGTGGCTGATGAGGGCTGCTCTCTGCTTCAAAGATGGTGCCTTCTTGATGTGTCACGGTGGAAGAGATTGAAGGGCCTAGCTAGTTCCCTGGAGCTCTTTTAAGGTCACTTAATCTCATTTCTTTCCAGGAAAGAAATGTGGAAAATAGTTTCCAGAAAGCTCCAGCATCATGGAGGCTTAGTGAATGAGTATTTTCTTTCTTTCTTTCTTTTTTTAATATTTATTTTTAGGTTTTTTTTTTTAAGGTGGACACAATATCTTAATTTTTTATTTATTTTTATGTGGTGCTGAGAATCTAACCCAGTTCCTCACACATGCTAGGTGAGCATGTTACCACTTGAGCCACATCCCCAGCCCCATGAATGAGTATTTTCAAGCTCCATCTTAGGCATAGGATGAAGCATTGGGGGTCTGAGATATGACATTTCCTGCTCTCAGGAGCTGTTAGAGTATAAAAGGACACAAGATAATCACGTCAACCAAAGGGTGTTGATTTCAGCTACTAAAGAGTGCTCTGCGGAAAATAAAAGTCAGAAGAAGGGATGGGAGTGACTCTTAATTAGGCAGGCTGAGGGGGACTTCTCTTAGGGGGTGGCTGTGTTGAGACCTGACTGTAGAGGAGTCAGCTTTGCAAAGTTCTGATGTAAGAACACTTCAAAGGAAATAGCAAGTGCCAAGGCCCTGAGGCAGAAGCAGTCTGGCATGTGCAGCTTGAACAAGAGGAAGGGATTTTATTGCTTTCTGGACTGGAACTCAGTCATAATCAGGTTTGGTGGGTTTGTCTTCAAATATTACTTATGGAGTGCCACTGTAGGGTTGAAAGAGCAGAGTGATGTAAGCTGACTTTACACACAGGGTAGTCTATAGTAGAGGCTAGAGGGGGGAGTGGTAGCAAGGGGAGCAGTTAGGAGACTCAAGAACTAGAGTCATGCAGGCAGTTGTGCAAGAGGCCAGAGACTCTAAGAGTCATGTTGACCCATTTTGAGATTCATTGTCCACATGCCTGGGGTTTGGGCCGTAGATGAACATTTGGAAGCCAACAGTGATGCTATGTAGAGTCTTAGGAATCTACGGCATCTGAGAAATGTGGAGAGAACAGGAAACCCAAAGGGTAATTGAGGCCACTATTTATAGTGGGAGAACATGTGGCCCTTATTTGGGATTAGGGGAGCCACTATGGGAGTAATGTGAAAATATCTGAACTGGAAACACCTAGGCTTTCACCGTTGCCAAATGGAATATTTGGCTTTGATGAAGTTGATATCTTGGGAGAAAAGAAGTGTGATAGTCAACCAACTGTAAACCTGTTTCCCCATAAGTCACCTTAGCAAAGCGTTCCAGGATAGACCTGTCCCAAATCCTATGCACATGGGCGTGCACACACACACACCAGGTAGGACTAGTATTTCCCAGGGTGGGAATCTGTGATTCCAGACTCAGAGTAGGTTTGAAGAGAGGGAATCCAACAGGAGTCTTCAGTTAAACAAGGGGTTCACAAACTTTTATGCTAAAGGGACAAATAGATTTGTGGACCATGAGGCTCTGCTGCAACTACTCAAATCTGCCATTCAATGTGAAAAAAAGCCATAGAACAAAAAAAAAAGAAAGAAAGAAAAGAAAAAAGCCAAGTATGTTCCAATAAAACTTTATTTGTAAAACTCAGCAGCAGCTGGCTTGATTTTGCCATAGTTTGCAGACTCCTGCCTTGGGCTTGAAATTCTGCCTAAAACAAGAGACCCAAAATGACGGTGGCTTAAACAAGATACAGTTGCTTCTCTTGCATGTTATCAGAATGGTGGCTGGTATGGTGACATCCTGTGAGGTTGGCCAGAGACCCAGGCTCCTGCTGTGTTGTTGCTCTGCTGTCCCACATACTGCTCTTGTACTCACAGTCCAAGGTGGCTGGGCACCGTGTCCACATTCCAATTAGAGAAGGACATGTACCTTTTTCAGGCCTATTTTACCTAGGAATTTAGCCAGAACTCAGCCGCATGACCACATTTAGCTGCAAGGGAGTCTGGGATGTGTGGTCTTGTGCTCCCATAAGCCTAACTAAAAATAGAGATAGCTATCAATTTCTCCCATAACCATCTCACCTGTGGATTTAAAAAACATCCCTCAATTCAAATACAGCCTGAGCAATGAATGCAGAGCATCAGCTATTATCTCCAGAGGCAGGGCAGGCATTGTCAGGGACTAAAATGGGCCTGGAAGGACTTATCTCCGGCTGAGGGCGACACTCACCGCTTAGCTGCAGCTTGTAGCTTTTGCCCTGCTGACAGTGTAAGTCCTGGTCTTTTCAAGAGAACTGAAAATAGGATCTTAATGGGAAATCTCCCAGTGTTGGCCAAATGAAACATGAAGCAGAAGGTATCTCTGTTTGACTCCAAACTAGTTTCCCTACAGGACTAGGCCAACTCTGCCCTGAGCTCCCTCCTCCCCACATCCTTATGTTCTCTAGCAATTCCCACTCAAAAGCCAGAGCTCCCTGTTTAGACATTTTAATATGGATGTTTAGTTTTTAGATACTATTCCTGTTAGCTTATTCATGCCATCTTCCCTACACACACACACACACACACACACACACACACACACACACACACATATAAACCCATTCCTAGAATGGTACACAAAATTATTTAAATAGGGCATAATGCTCTGTCATCCAATGCCATGGCTGCTGTCTGAGTGGAGCGGACTGGCAGACAGGGAGGAGACAGGACCTAAACTGCAACGCCTTTTGACTTGGGGTCTGGCTCCCACCTTGCTGCCCCATCCCCAAATACCCAGGTTGCTCCAGGTCTGGAACACACCCAGTCTCATTACAGGACAGCAGCACCGCCCTTCCCTGCCCCCTACTCAGGCACAGATCCAGGGCAATTTGCTCCTGCAGCCCATGGCACCCATCTGGGAAACATTAAAGGTGATTACACAATCTGCAGCTAGTTATTTAACTGGGAATGAGGGAGAATAATTTTTCCTTCTCTATTGTGCATTTTTTTCTTCTTTTTTTTTTTTCCTTGCTCATTTTCTTAAAAAGATCTGTTTGCTGATTTCACTGTTTCCCTAAAGGACCTATGTCCTCCAAAGACTGAAAGTCTAAATGACAGCCTTCTGGGTCCTATTTGTCCAGAGCCTTTTTGCCTTCCCAGGGTGGGAAGCAAATCCCTCCAAAGCCCCCAGAAGACCTGTGCCCTTATCATGGGTGGGTCCCACCAACCAGAGCCCGCATTTTAAGTGCGCATCTTAAGCACTATTGAGGGGCTTAAGCTGTACTCAGAGCTCCCCCCGAGCATGTCGAATATAGTGTTGATGGAGCCCTGCTTCCTGGGCAAAGTCCTGACCACACTCCGTACAAGCAAAGGGACCAGGGTGGGTGTGGGCCTCATGCACCAGGCGGTGCCGCCTCAGAGAAGCAGCCTGCCCAAAGTTCTTGCCACAGTCAGGACAAGGGAAGGTGGGCTGGGCAGGGGTGGGTGCACCTGGCGAGGAGGGCCTGGCTGCTGGACCATGGCTGCGCTGGTGGATGATCAGGGCCTTGGAGGAGGGGAAGGAGCGGGCGCAGGTGAAGCAGATGAAGAGAGCCCCCTGCAGTTTCTGGGCCACGAAGTCCGCTGGGTGCTCCCGCTTCATGTGACGCTCCTGGAACTTGGAATCGGCGAAGGTGATGAGGCAGCGGGTGCACTGCGGGGCCCCTAGGTGGCCTAAGGGATGTGGGGAGAGGTCGGGGAAGGCCAGCAGGAGTATCCAGAACCTCTCCCAAGCCCCAGAATTATGCCAGCAACTACCACTGAATGCTATATGTGCTAGGAATGAGTTAAATGTTTGCAGTTATTATTCCTAAGACAGAGAAAAGCGCCTGATATCTAGAAGCTGACCTGACATGGCAAGGCCTTGGTGTTCTACTGGTCTTATACAAGCAAGTATAGAACTGTTAAAAACCCATTTTATGGGTGAGCAGACACAAGGCTCAATAGGTCAGCAAGTTACCCACAATCACAAAGCTAGAAAACGAAAAGGTGGGGCCAGGGAATCTGCCTATCTGACACAACTTGTGGTGGCTATCGTAGTGCCTGGGATTGGACCCCAGCTCCACCACTTCCTAGGCAAGTACAACAGTTTGCTCACCTGGAAAATGAGGTAATAACAGCATCTCTTTTTAGGATTTTTGGAAGGAACTAGTTAATTTATATAGTGCCGCTTTAAACAATGTTTGCAGTTATTACTCCCAAGACAGAGAAAAGCGCCTGATATCTGGGAGCTGACCTGACATGGCAAGGCCTTAGTGTTCCTCTGAACACAATTCCACAGAATAACAGTGACAGACAAGGTGTTGCCATGACTGGGATGAGTCAAGACAAGACCACACCATAATAATATCTGGATACAAACAAAACGTGAACATTGTCTAAGCCATGACCAGCCACCCCTCTATTCTTGCTAATGTGAGTGATCACAGCTGCTTCATCAATCACAACTTGACCTCATATTTTTTCTCCTCCTAGATAAGGTTAAGAGAGCCAATGAGAGCTGTCCTACTTCCTGGAAGTATCTAATCCCTAGCAAAAGCCCCATTCTTTGACCCATTCCCAAATCATCACATGTAAGCTACATTATTTTTTTTGTACTGGGGATTAAACCCAGAGGCACTTAAAACCACTAAGCCAGATCCCCAGGTTTTTTACTTGTTTGTTTGGGGCTTTTGTTTTGTTTGAGACAGGATTTCATTAAATTGCTTAGGGCCTCACTGAGTTGCTGAGACTGGCTTCAAACATATCCTCCTGCCTCAGCCTCCCAAGTCACTGGGATTACAGGCATGTGACACTGCACCCAGCTCCCTATAAATCTGTTTTAAACACACATCCTGAGACACTCTAAGTTTCCCCATGATACGTGAACAATAAACCCAATTTGATCAACAAGACAGATGTGTTGCTGGTGATCTAGCTAGACCGCACTCACACTATGGCTCTTGTTACATATTTCTGACTCAGTTCCCTCACCTTAAAGTGACACGGGGTCCATGATTAAGAGTACTGAATGAGTGTTAAACTCAGTATGAGAATGACTGCACCTAGCACATATTAAGCATTCAACAGGAGCTGCTGCTACTGTAAGTCAAACATTGTACCTTTATTAAAATCAGGCTTTCCCCCCTTTTCTGCAGTTAATTCCATAACAGCCCTTGGAGGTGGGTAGTGGCAGGTCTCCCATTCCCATCTCCTGTATTAGGGACTGAATGCAGGGATTTCTACCAGCTATACATCCTCAACCTTTTCATTTTTTATTTTGAGACAGAGTCTAAGTTGCCTGAGGCTGGCCTTGTACTTGATCCTCATGCCTCAGCCAGAGATCCTGGGATTACAGGCCTGTTCCACTGAGCCCAGTGTGGCAGCCTCTTTTGACAGAGGGGCCACCACATTCAAAATTTAGGTCAGAGTTGGGGCCAGAACCTTGGTGCTTCCCTCACAGTGGAGAGATTCCTAGCCTCACTTATAACCCAAACCTCTCTTGGAAGCCACCCTATCCCTCTGAACTGCATCCCTTTTCTGCTAGGTGGAAGAGCAAGGTGAGTACACCTGAGCATAAGCATGAGGAGAGGCAGTTCCTGGTAGGCCAGCTCTAGGTCGTTCCATCCCCTTCCCAACAGGCAGGGCCCCGTAGCACCATAGGCACGGAATGCACAGGCTTGTGGGTCACCCTCATCTGGCCAGCAGTACTCACAGATGTTGCCTCCTGGGCTGCTGGGCCTTCTCTCCTTGGGTGAATCCTGTTGCTCCATGGTGTCTTCGGGGTGTGAGTCCTCCATGGTGACTGAGACTCCTCTGGTCAAGACAGGAATAGGCGTGTGTGAGGCTCCTCATTTGTCACCAGCCCTAAGGAGCCTGCTAATTCTTTAGTGCCCACCTCCTGGAACTCGCTGACTGCGCTTTCTCTAGACAAGCCTCAGCCCACCCAGATTAGATCCCTGGGTTTGTGATTTCCCCTGGGGCCTTCTCACCTGTGTGACCTATGACTCCCTCCACCCAGCTAACTCCCTGACAGGGTGGGACCCTTGGTCTGGACACCAATCTCATTCCAGTCTCACATATCTGGGGGAGGGTCGTTGTACCCACCCTTTAACCCGCCTCTTCCCGGGAGCCATCTTTCTCTGACATCCTGTGGCTTGTTCCTCTCAGAGCCCCTGCCTCTCAAGCACGCTGCCAGTCGCAGGGTCCCGCTGCCGCAGCACAGCTTCAGCTCCGGCTCCGGACCAGTCGACCCGGCCTCTGCTTTTCTCCCTGTGGCAGAGGGCTGCCTTTCGCTGCGCCTGTCAGCCGCGCGCCACAGCGCCGCCGCCCGAGGGGAGTAGAGTAGGGCCCACCCAGACTCGAGGTTCCGGGGTCTCCGCGTCCTTTCTCCGGAAGAGCCTCTCGACGCCGAGGTCAGGGATTGCTGTCCGGCAGTAGTACAGTCACACAGGCCCGGTCCTCAGAATAATGGCCGGGGGTCCTTCCTTGACCTGGACGCACTGTGATGACGTTGTGAACCGTGTGTACCGTACATATCGAAGTTTCCTGCGCCCAGTTAGGTGGGCGCTCGCGGCGCGCAAGCGCCTCGCCCCCTTCATTGTTCTAGGCCCAGAGACCGCAGAAGCTGGGGAGCGCGCACGATTCAGCTGTTCTGCAGCCAAGAACACGCTGTCTCCACCGTCAAGTTCCAAGATATCCCGCCTGGTAGAGGGAGTGGCGTCAGGTTAGAACTGTCCGATCGCGTCCTAATGTCTTTAAATCTGGGCGTTCTGGCCTCCTCGGCTTCCGTCCTCCGGGCTGGTCAGTCTCCTCTGCGACTGACCAGCCGCCACCAGCTGTGCTCCTGGTGTGTTGGCTTTCTGCTCCGTTGGTGATTTGGGAGGAGGAAGAGTCATCCCCGTGTCCCCGAGGGACAGGAGATTGAAGGTTGGACTTCTGAGGTGTTGAAGTAGAAAGGGAAACGCTAGCACTCAGAAAAAGGTGAATAGGCACCGGGGCCCCCAGGGAATAAGCCCAATATACTGGGTTTCTAGGTCCTGGAGCGTGACACCCAGGTATGGAAATAGGAGACAGGGTGGAGGACTGAAAACTGGGCTAGGAAAGAAAAAGGCCAGGTGTTGCCTGATTCGTGTCTTCCCCGCCCTTGTTTTCCAGCAATGCTTCCGCCGCGGGGTGACGTGACTGCCTTATTCCTCGGGCCTCCGGGCTCGGGAAAGTCCTCGCTAATTGCAGCGCTTTGCGACAAGAATGTGGAGACGGTAGAGATCCCCGAAGGACGGCCGGACTCTGGGATCCCTAGTTTGAGAGCTGCGGGCCCAGGTCTTTTCCTGGGTGAACTGAGCTGCCCACCCGCGGTGCCGGGGCCCTGGGCGGCGGAGGCCAATGTGCTGGTATTGGTGCTACCCGGGCACGAGGGGAACGGGGAGCTCTTGGACCCAGCATTGGCAGAGGCAGCGCGGGCCGCCCTAGCCCGAGGGACCCCGCTGCTTGCTGTGCGGAACCTCCGCCATGGGGATTCGCAGAATGATGCCCGGGCTCAGACAGCAGCCTTGCTGAACAGCGCCGGGTTAGGAGCGGCCACTCTCTTTGTGCTGCCGGCAGAGTGCTGCAGCAGCGATTGCTGGGAGGAGCTAGAACGCCTGCGGGTGGCACTGCGGAGCCAGGCGGAGGCGCTGCAGAGGTGAGTGACAGGCTTTCAGGCTGGGTGGGGAGGCATGATCCCCTTCGTCTAGACCCCATCTCTGAGGAATTTGAGGGGAGACTACTGCCAAGGCTCCTCTCCTTTGTCCAGATCCCGCCTCGTTCTCATAGGTTTTGAGGTCCGAGAGGCTCCACCCCAAGCTTGTGCTCTGCTTGACCCTTGTCAAGCCCCGCCTCCTGAGAGCCTTCTGAGGTCACAAGCTCTGTAAGAATTCTAGGAGGGACCTGGAGCTAGCCTGCAAATACTGCCCACAGGCGAAAAAATTTTGAAGTAAGACTCCATTTCACCACAAAAGTTTGTGATCCTAGTGAAGATTTTACCCAGACTCAAACTCTCAAGTCCTTTTCTCCTCTCCTACCATCAATTTGGCTCCCAAGCAACCCCAGTTGCCCAAAAGGCATACCTGCAATGACCTTTATTATATCTTGAAGTCCTCCCTCACTTCCTTTCTCCAGTTCCCTCTCGTGTCTGTTTCCACTTGCTGGCTACCTCCTAAACTCCTCACCCCCTACTGTCAGCCACCTCAATTTATGGATGTCAAATTGGAACTTAAAAAGTGGCATCTTTTTTCCTTAGCCTCACTTGCCTTGTGTCACCTTAGTCACCGTGTCCTTGGTAGGAGCTAGTATCAGAGATGTTTCTCCCCTCACTGACCCTCCAACTCCTGGCTTCTGGAAAGAACACACTTGGGGACCCCCTTATTTGTCAATAGTGCTCAATTTCTTTAGGCTACGATATAGTTGCCATTCTGTCCTTCCTCTAAGCTAATTCCATATGAGTTGGTTACACCCAACAGATTCCAGGAAACCTGCCCCCACTACTAACCCCTGGGTGTGTCCCAGAGAAATCTTGGTCCTGGGGGAGCCCTCATTTATGATTATCGGGAACCAGATCCTGCCTCACCCCAGGATTGTTCAGAAAGTTCCACCCTTGTCACAGTAGCCCAGGCTTTATTTCCCAGATTTTCTCATGTTTAGCTACCTTTGACTGCATCCCTCCCTGCTCCCACAGGCTCCTGCCACCAGCCCAGGATGGTTTTGAGGTGCTGGGCGCAGCTGAGCTGGAGGCTGTGCGGGAGGCCTTTGAGACTGGTGGCCTTGAGGCAGCTTTGTCTTGGGTGCGCTCAGGCCTGGAGCGCCTGGGCAGCGCAAGACTGGACCTGGCAGTGACTGGCACAACTGACATAGGCCTTGTGCTGAACATGCTACTTGGGTTGGATCCCAACGACCCTGGTGCAGTGCCTGCTTCTGTACCCACAGTGCCCACCCCCTTCCCAGCACCAGAGCGCCCAAATGTAGTGCTCTGGACTGTGCCTCTGGGTCCCATGGGCACTTCCCCTGCTGCTGCCCCTCACCCCACCCACTATGATGGCCTCATCCTCGTCACTCTCGGGGCCCCTACTGAGAAGGACTGGGCCCAGGTCCGCTCCTTGGTGGTACCAGATGGGCCCCTCGTCTGCGTGCGAACAGATGGTGAGGGCGAGGATCCAGAGTCTCTGGAAGAGGAAAAATTAAAGCCCAGGGATGCAGACTTACAGAAGAAAGGCGAAGGGGGATTGGAGAATGCACCCAGCGACCCAAAGGAAAAACCTGGCACTGGATCTCAGAAAGCAGGTGGGGAAGATTCAGAGAAGGCTGGCAGCGAAGGTGCCGGCTTCAAGAAACCAGGCAGTGGGGACTCAGGGGGCACTGGTGCTTTGAGTCCGGAGGACGAGACGTGGGAAGTGCTGGAGGAGGCTCCCCCACCAGTGTTTCCCCTGCGGCCTGGTGGACTCCCCGCGCTGTGCGAATGGCTGCAGCGTGGGCTTCCGCCAGCCCAGGCTGGGGCACTGCTGCTGGCGCTGCCCCCCACCTCTCCAGGCGCTGCCCGCAGAAAGGCTGCAGCGCTGCGTGCTGGGGCGTGGAGGCCGGCTCTGTTGGCTAGTTTGGCGGCGGCAGCAGCCCCTGTACCAGGGCTAGGCTGGGCGTGCGACGTGGCACTTCTCCGAGGACAGCTGGCTGAGTGGCGGCGGGCTCTGGGGCTTGAACCTGGGGCCCTGGCACGACGTGAGCGTGCCCTGGGCCTGGCTCCTGGGGAGCTGGCCGCCCGTACTCACTTCCCAGGCCCAGTGACACGTGCAGAGGTGGAAGCAAGACTGGGTGCCTGGGCCGGTGAGGGCACTGCTGGTGGCGCAGCGCTGGGTGCACTGTCCTTCCTGTGGCCTGCGGGTGGCGCAGCTGCGACTGGTGGTCTGGGCTACCGCGCAGCCCATGGTGTCCTGCTGCAGGCACTAGAAGAGATGCAGGCAGATGCGGAGGCCGTGCTGGCGCCCCCTGAGCCCACCCAGTGAGGGATGGGATGGGAGCCAGGGCTTCTGGGGCTGCGAAACCCAAGCTCTGATAGATTGGGGGGGGTGTCTAGTACTCGGAATTCTGGGGGTTTGGGGATGCAGGTTCTGATTTCTACTCATCTGGATTTGTGTAGGGGAATAGAGTCTAGGGGGCAGGACTCCTGATTTCTCTGTAGACCAGGGAGTAGGCCATCCAGACCCTTGTCCTGAAGGGAGTTGGGGACCTGGAGTCCTAGAAGCAGGGTGCATCTTGGTCTCCAACTGGAGTTTTGGGGCCTCACCAGGGAAGTAAGGCTAGAATGCCTTGATTCCTAACAGGGGAGATCTTGGGCTCCATATTGGGAAAGTAGGTCTGGGTTTTCCAGAAGCCAGAACCCTTGAATCTGGCCTTCAAAGGGAAACAAGATCTGCTTCCTTGAAGGAAAAGGCCTATACACAGCCTCCCAGGATGCCGAGGGACAGTGGCTTTGAATCTTCTGTGGGGTGGGATTTGTGTGTCTGAGGTCTCAGGTTCCTGATTTGCAGGGGCTGTGGGCCTTAGTTGCTAATTCTTGGATGATTGAAGGGCTAAATATGGAAAAGGGAACAGGGAGCCTACAGGAGACAGTCCAAGACTCCATGGTCTTTTGGAAGTGAATGGGTGTCTTGTATTTTGTTCTCCAAGGGTCTAGTGTAGGAAGAATGATCCCAGAAAAGTAGCAAGTGGGCAAGAGGTATGTGCATGGTGGGCTCTGGGGTAGCCTGAGTTCTAGGTGTGGCAGAGCAGGAACCTCTACTTCAGACATACCTCTCACCTCTCCCTAATATACTTGGATCCTGGCAGCTGCTCCCAGGAATTTGGGAAGGGGTACGCCTACCCATTGTCTAGGTGCTTGGTGATTCAGGGTGTCTCCAGGGTAGGTGTACCTCTGTCTTTCCTTTACGGTTCTATTACCTTTTTTGTTCATTTGGTTTCGGTCTTGCTTTCTTCTGTCATAATAGCCTTAACCCTTTTTTGCTTTGGCGTTTTGTGCACCTGGTTTTTAGAGAAGCAGCTGTACTGCTGCACTAGTCCAAACATTTTTGTGTGGCCTTCTCGGATATTCCTAAGAGACTCTGCCTTCTGGTGTACACAGAGGGTGCTGCAGCCAGTAGCATTGCCACAGAACGGCTGTGCAGGTAGGTAGTCCAGATGGTGAGAATATGTCAGGGGTGAGGCAAAGGCAGAAACTGCAGTGCCTGCGTGCCTGCGTGTTTTAAGCTAACTATGTGTAGGCAGGAAACCTGAAATTATAAAGTGTCAAAAAACAAAGGGAGGATCTAACAGATGGGAAGAGCAAGTCCAGAGGGCAGGCAAGAGGCCCAATAGCCCTAGGACGGCTTCGTGTGGTCTGGTTCCTGCCTCTTCTCATTCTTTGCCCTATCCCATTCCCAATGAGCCTGATAGGTTCTTCAGATAGAGTAGAATCTTGAGTCCTGCCTCAGGACCTTTGCACTTGTTATTTCCCCCTGTAATACACTGTTTCCATATCTTCCCATGATTGGCTCCTTGTCCATCAGGTCTCTACTCAGATGTCCCCTCAGAAAGGCCTTCCTGACCACCCTAACTGATGTATTTTGCACATCCTCACTACTGGTTCTGGCCAGTTGATTTACCTTGTAGCAAATATCACTATAAAAATGACCTTATTTATTTATTTATTTATTATTTACCTGCTTATTGGCTATTACCTCTTTGCTTTTCTTGTTCTCTGGTATGTACTCAATACCTAGAACAGTATCTGGCACACAGTAGGTGTTTAGTAAGTAATATTTTTAGATTCACAGATCAGTAGCAGAATTAGGGTAAAATTGAGGGCCGGAGATAGAGCAGTTGGTAGAGTGCTTGCCTTGCATGCACAGGGCCCTGGGTTCAGTCCCCAGCACCACACACCAAAAAAATGAAATAAGAAGTAGGGTAACATTTACAGTTTTGGCCTCCCAGAAAGGAGAGAGGAACAAGATGGAGAGAAGCAAGCATGGTTACGCCACTCACTCTGTCACTTGGATCTGTGCCTTATTTTCCCATCTGTGAAATGAAAGGGCTGGATGAGAACCATGAATGCATCCGAGATCCTATTTTCCTGGACAGCTGAAAATAAGGGTTACTGATCTAAGGGACAGATAGCTGGGGGACAGTACCCCCATCTTCTGCTTAATCTTACCACTGGTACAAATTGTCCCACCAAAGTCAAATGGCCATGATTGACTTGGTGCTAAATGGCTCTAGGCTTCGTGTACAGAACTCACTCAGCCTTAGAAAGATTGATTTTAATATATTTTGATTAATCCAATGTCCCCCAAATATTATCATTTCAACACATAATATGTTAAAGGTAGTAATGAGATAGTTTACATTCATTTAGTTCAGGATCCATTTTTGTATTTTAAACCTAGAGCATCTCAATTCAGATAATAAATTTTTATTAGAAAAGTTTGACCTCTTTAAATTTCATAAAATTCAGGCTGGGCACAGTGGTACATACCTGTAATCCCAGCTACTCAGGAGGCTGAGGCAGGAGGATTGCAAGAAGGCCAGCCTCAGCTATTATATGAGACCCTACATCAAAGAAGGTAAAGAGCTGGGAGTTTAGCTTGGTAGAATGCCCTGGGGTTCAATCCCGAGTATTGAAAAAAGTAAAATTCATAGGTGACATAGATTCATATACCCAAGATCAAATTATATTTAATACTTCTTTGATAACTGAGATGAGTGTTAAAAGTAAATAAAATTAGGAGCTAGGATTGTGGCTCGGTGGTAGATCACTTGCCTGGATGTGTGAGGCACTGAGTTCAATCCTCAGCACCACATAAAAACAAATAAAATAAAGATATTATGTCCATCTACAACTAAAAAAAAAAATTAAGTAAATAAAATTAAAAATTCCATTTCTCAGCTTCATTACCACATTTCAAGGGCTCAGTAGCCACTTGTGGTTAGTGACTACAATGTTGACCAGTATCAATATAGAACATTTTTGTGACTACAGGAAACTTACTAGCATAGCTGTAGGGTGAGACAGGCCTGCTGATTTTGGGCGTGATCTTGGGGAAGTCATTCAGCAAATGGCATCTACCTCATACAGGTTATGAGAGTTTCCTGTATGGATATACGTGTAAGTGTGTGTGCAGCATGCTACAGACCCTCCTGAGAGGGTGGCCTGGGAGCTCAGTCCTCTTGCTTTTGCCCACACATCTTCATTCCTGAGCAGCATGAAAATGTCTCTAGCTTAGGCACCTGTCACCCCCAAGCCTTTGCTCAGATTGTCTTGTAGACAACTCTGTTCTGTGCTTTGTTGCTTTTATTCCCTGTGCCCTAGTGCCAGAGAGGATATCAAAGAAAACAAGACAATTTGTGTGTGTGTGTGTGTGTGTGTTGAGTGCCAGTTACATTTATATAGTTGTATGTTGGCACCTTTGGGTTTCATTGCTTCTGTTTTCGGTGCTTGCTTCTACGATTTTGGGTCCCCCTGCCCCTGGGGGATTGAACCTAGGACCTCAGATCCTGGGTTCTGCTGGGTAAGTGCTCTACCACTGACCTACATCCCCAGCCCTGGTGGCCTTTAATCATGACTTGATGGATTCAGTTTAGGAATTGCAGAGTCATAAGGTTGTGTGAGTGAGGTATCTGTCCCTGGGAGCATCCAAGGAGGAAAGGCTAAAATTCCCTGTGGACAGATCACAGACTGCCATGGGATGGGTCTAATGTGGCATCCCAGGGCTGGGAGACCTGGGAATGTGTGATGTACCTTGGTGTTGCCATTGCCAAAGCAGAAAAGACCCCCAAAACATGGGAGAATGAATGAGACACCCTCATCACCGTAGCAGAGCTTTGCATTTCTGGGTCATGGTGGGGCTTGTGTCCATTGCAGTGGGGAACCAGGAAGGACAAATCAAGGGTATGGTGACCTATGGTGTTTTTTGGAGGAATGAATAAAAATGTGTAGAAATCCTATTGTGTGTTCTTTGGGGGTTTGAGTGGGGGAAATGCTGAGCCTCCTGACTAGGCTGGGAGCCTGGACTCCTGGGGCCGAGGGTAGGGGAAAGATGATGGGGAATCTGTCCAGAGAACAATTCCTTAGGCTCTGATTAGAAGCTTTTATCTGCAGGATCTGAGTTTCGCTGTCCTGGAAGGTGACTGTTAGGACCTTAAAGGTTTGTGATGGTCAAGCACATTTACTCCAGACCAGCATGTCACATTAATGTCCCCAGTTTGTTCAGCCTCTCTGTAGCGTGGCCTTGGATTGTCCTCTCTTGTCTCATCCACTGGGGCAACAGCAAATTTGATGCAAGAAGAGATTTTAAAAGTGCTCATGCATCTTGACTTCCTTCTGCTGTCCCTGGGACCCCTGCCCCCATTGCCAAATTAAGAAGCCTAGGCTCACTTGCTAGGTAATGAAGACACATGTAGCCCAGTTGTCCTTGGCACCTCAACTCAGCCAGCCAACACTCAGAAACACATCTGCCTAATCAACTGGCAGCTGAGACCAGCAGAAGAATCGCCCAGCTGGTCCCTGACCGATTCACCGATACACAGAATAATGAGCTAAATAAAAGTTGATTGTTATAAACTACAGAATTTTGGAGTGGTTTGTTATGCAATGAAAGCCAACAGTCAAACTCGTTTACTCTCTGTGATGTGGTCTTTCTCCCAGTGATTAAAACCTTCAGTGTGAATCCTTTCTGTGAGCTTCAGATTCATCTTTTGAAAACAAGGATGAGAATAACAGTGCCTATCACAGAGTTGTGAAGGTAACATGAGAAATGAGCTCTAAGAGGCCATGGTGGTCCTATGTGCTATTGTGAAACATTCAACTGTCAGTTTTATAATCCTAGGGTGGGATTGCACTTCCTGGATTCCCTGTGGTTGTGTGACTAGTTCCCTCGAACCAGTAGAAAGTGTTGCTGGGTGTGGTGGTTGATGTGACACCTGTAATAACTAGGACTGGGGACCCCAAGGCAGGAGGAGGGTCACAAGTTCAAGGCCAGCCTCAGGAGCTTAAAGTGATTTCTGAGTCACAGAGGGTTTTTTGTTTTTTGCAGTAGTAGGTGAAGACGGGCATTCTGCCACTAAATCACATCCTCAACGCCTTTTATTTTTTGAGACTGGATCTTGCTAAGTTGCTTAGAGCCTTGCTAAAGTACTGAAGCTGGCTTTGAAATTGCAATCCTCCTGCCTCAGCCTCCCAAGCTCCTGGGATTACAGGCATACACCACCACGCCTGGCTAAATCACAGCTTTTAATCACACATGTGAGGTTTTCCTGGGCTCTTTGCTTTGGGTATAGAAAGTGGCCATGGTCAGGCCGGGGGTTGTGGCTCAGCGGTAGAGTGCTCGTCGAGCATGTACGAGGTGCTGGGTTCGATCCTCATCACCACATAAATAAATAAGTAAAATACAGGTGTTGTGTCCAACTACAACTAAAAATAAATAAGTAAATAAACTCATTTTTTAAAAAAGAAATTAGCCATGTTCAAGTTGGTGACTGCTCAATGACTAATGAGCTGAATGTGGTGCATGGTGCTAAACATGTAGAGTGAAGGAACAACTAATTTTCTGTGAATGGGCACTCATTGAGCAAACCTAACTCCCTCCCTCCCCCTGGAGGGGGAGGATACTTTCCTATCCCATTGTTATTGAGTTAGGCTATATGACTTACCTTGCTCAAGCGGTTCTAACTTCAGCAAGGGTCTTCAATATACTTGACTTTTGTACTCCTGTGATCTGCCATGAGAACAGTTGAGAAAGCAACTGATCTGGAAGATTATGGAAGTGCATGAAGGGGAAGATTCCCTCCCCCCACCACCCCGTCACCCACACACACTAGAGCCAAATCAGCCAACACAGCTAGAAGTGGAGCTACCCAGCCAACCCATAACACTTTGAAAAAATATTGTTTCAGGTTTGAGTTCAGTACTTCAGCATTAGGTGATTCATACAACTTTGCTTTATTTATTTATTTTATTTGGGTGCAAAGAGATTGAACACAGGGAGCTGTACCATTAAGTTATATCCCCAAACTTTTTTATTTTATATTTTTTACTTTGTCACAGGGTCTTTCTAATTTGCTGAGACTGGCCTTGAACTTTCCATGCTCCTTCCTGCCTCAGCCTCCTGAGTTCCTGGGATTATAGGTGTGTGGCACCACACCTGGCAACTTTGTTATTTTAAACCACAAAATTAGTGATTTGTTTATCGTCATAGAAAATCTAGTCTGTCCCAACTGGTGCCAGAGTTTAGCACCTGCCAACTAAAGGCCACTCAGTAGGTGGCAGCTATTATGATAATTACTATTTATTTAGACATATTGCTCACAGAATCATCATTCTCTTAAAAGGTAGAAGGCACTATACTAAGTGCTTTTAAAGTGTCCTTTCATTTGCCTCTTACAAAAGCATTATAAAGTCATAGCTATTAATATCTAATATAGCTCAGTTGGTACAGTGTTTTCTTCGCATGCACAAGGCCCTAGGTTCAATCCCCAGCACTACCAAAAAGGAAAAAAATCTACATTTTGTAGACAAGAAAACAGGAAAAAAACTAAGTAATCAAGAACTCTGGAGTCTTACAGACTCAGGTTCAAATCAGATTCGACCTTTCCTACCTGTTAAAACCCAAGGCAAGTGGCACTCACAATCTGCCTCAGTTTATTTGTCTGAAAAGTGGGTATAATATCATTTCCACAGATTTGTGATCATAAAATGAGGTATAACATAGAAATCACTTAGCACAAGGGCCTGGCAAAGAGTGTCCCTTAATAAAGTGCAAGGTCTTCCCTCTATCCCTGGAAAAGAGGAGGTTAGAAAAGAGGATTGAGATCTGTACCCTCTGCATCCCACCTCCCCAAAATGCATCATGTCACAAGTACTCAGGCTTGTTCTGTGAACTGGTTTAATTTATAGGGGAGCTGCAGAGCAGAACAAAAGGAGACCTCCAGCCATATATTCCTCAGGTCTTCACTCAGCCCGGCCAGGGGGATAGGGAGCTGGAAGGCAGTCTGCCCGGCGGATGAAGTAGAGGTAGGAAGCTGAGGGCACCTCGGCCCCAGCCTTTGTGTAGCAGGCACTCTCTGTAGCACAGCCTCGAGTGGCAAATTTGGTGTTGATGATACCTGGGAGGAGGGTTCCAGGCTGGAGTCAGCCCCTTCTCATGGCCCAGGAATCCCCGCCCCTCCACCTCCTGGCCTAGTTCTTGGGAGCCCCTCCTCCCCTGGAACAGAGAGGTTTAGGCTTCCAGCTTTGGGATCCCTGTACCCTCAGAGATTCAGGGACCCCTCACCAGCCTGCACGTTGCCAGCAAAATAGATGCAATGTGTTTCCTGGCCAACACAGCGAGCTGCCTGGGTTCCCGGGCACGTCTCCTGGAAGGGCACGATGCAGGAGGGGCACATCAAGCCATTCTCAGTACGATTGTTCTGGGGAGCTGCAGATGAGGGTGACGTGTATAGTGAACAGGAATGTTTACACTCTTGCCCGAACCTCCCCAGAGCTCTGGGAATGCCAGGGCTGCTAATGGAAACTGCATTCTACAGGTAAGGAAACTGGTGCGCAGAACCAGTGAGGTGCCTTGCCAGGTGTTACAGTATGGGCCAAGCACACACAGTGGCCCTGGGGCAGGGCTGAGTTGGCACTTACGGGGCACGGAGCCACTGTTGCAGCCGTCACTCTGGCAGCAGCGTGCGTTGGTTACCATGTAGTCATTGGGGCTCATGGTGGTGGAGACGAAGCCTGAGTAGCAGTCGCTGAACTTCATGCAGGCCTTAAAGGTGCTCACTGCCTGCCGGCCCTCTGCAGAGGAGACAGGAGTTGAGAGCAGGTGGCTTAGATCTAACCCTACACTTCCACAACGCCATGACCCCCTAGGTTGGTCTCTTTCAGTCCCCTAAAGTGACAGTCCCTGATTTGCCTGGTGTGTGGTCTGGAGTGGTTTATTAGATAGCCTTCCCTCCTTGGTGCCATAGAGTGGAGTGGGCCTTTGATGGTCTCCGCATGGTCCCAAGTGCCTACCTGGTGTGGCCTGTTCCACCATTCCCCTTCACCCCTCCGTGTTTCTCTCCTTCCCTGCCAGTAGGAGTTTTGCAAGTTTGTGAGACTTTAAGACTTTGTTCCCCTCCCAGGAGCCCCTTCTAACAACCTCCAGGGTGCTGCCCCTGCTCCACACTCAAATCTCAGATTCTTTCATGGTTACTCGCCAGAACTCCTCCCATTGGTAGTCTCTTGCTGTCCCTCCTGGCTAGTCCCAGGTCTTGTCTGGGGTGGTTTCTTCCAGTCTACACAGCCTCCCTCCAAAAATTCAAAGTTTTCCCCTCCATACCCTTCTGAGGGCTGGCTCTTCCCCAGCTGCTTCTTCCCCTGACCAAAGGTCCATTTCCCACCTATATGCCTGGGGAGGTGTCTTCAAGACTCTTGGGTCCTTCCCTCACCCGCCAGAGCTTGCTGGGTGGACAGGACAATATAGCAATCTTGTATCCCAACTTCCACTCACATCCCCTCCTGTCCAGAGAGTTTCTTACCGATCGCAAAGTTGACCTTCATCTGCAGCAGCCATCATTCCCTTGCTAGGTCCCCAGCATCTCTACTCCTGTGACTAAGGGTCTCTTTCAGCTTTGAAGAATGTGGCTGCTTGCCCCGGGGAGGGGAGGGGATTGGCTTCCCTTGCTCCCCTTTCTCAGATCTGGGGATGGGGTGGGCTCTAAGTATGGCCCTCTCTCTCCCTTCCATTTCACTCATGGGCTTCTCCACTCCTCCATTTCTACTTCTTCTTATGAAGATTTGCTTCCAGCTTCAGAATCACCTCTCTCCACTCTGGGGTGGTCGCTTTTCTGTCTCTCCCCCTAACCCAACATCATCTCTCCTCCGGTCTTTGGTCTCTTCCCTGATCACATTCCCTGACCCCAACCCAGCCTCTTCCTTCTTTACCCCTGCCCTATTTCTACCCCTTGCCTGTTAGATTCGTTCCCTTTTCCCCCATGTCCTTACCTCTCCTTGCTCCCCGACCACCACCATCTTCTCCTTTGGACAGTCGCATCTTCAGAATCCCTTACCACAATAGTTTCCATCGCATCACTCAATTATCTTCCTAAGGTCTTTCCCTCTTTCCTGCCCTCCTCTGATTTTCTTCCCACGCTTCACCTGTCCTGAAAACTGTGATGATCTCTCCTCGGGACTGAGGTACCCTCTACCCAGAAAGCACGCCCTCCCCGCCGGGGGCTTGACGCCGCGCCCTCCTACTTGTGCGGGACTCGCTCACGAGAACCACGCATGCGTCCTTGCCAGCCTCGCAAGTCTTCATTTTGCCGCTGCACGTGTGCCCGGAGCCTTTACACACCTCACAGCTTAGGGGCCATCCTGCAGGGTAGAGGGCGAGTCTGTAGTCAGAAGTGGCGTGGACCGCAGTCCACGAATTCGACTTTGGCGTTTAAAGGGGCGGGGCGGGGGAGGACTTGGGGTCCTGATGGAGGAAGGCCCAGCATCTCCCTGTGTTTTCATGGGTGGGGCCTTGATTTCTGTCCAGGGAACTGTCCAGAGTGACAAGGAAGCAGTGGTGCCGCCAGCAAAGCGGCTTCCAGGGGCGGGAAGCGACTCTGACTTGGAGCCTGTTTCCTTAATTACAAGGCTGGGGACTTTGGACGCCAGGGTCCTTTGTGCAAGCTCGGGGGCAGGGAGGGGTCGTGCCAAAGGTTTTCACGGACTTTGGTAAAACTTCAGGTCCAGCTGGTTCTTGGGTGTGGGACTCTTGCACAGGTACTGCACAGGTCTTATAGATGGTAAGAGTTCAGGTAGGGTACCTGAGGCTGGGGTCTGCGTCCAAGGGCAAGGTGAGGGAGTGAGGACCAGAAAGGACTGAGAGCATGGACTAAAGAGGAGGCAACTCTACCTAAACACCTGGGCCCTAGGAAAAGTGAAGCTGTCCTGGACTCCTGCATCTCCCTGAAGAAGGAGGCAAGGTGTCTGAACTCAGTCCAGAAAGAAAAGAAATCTCTCTTATTTATTTTTTTAAATTTCCCTTTGGAGTCGTGCTCTCCTCTGATTTTCTAGAATTCAGATGTCTTACTTGGGGACCCTGTCTATAGGACAGAGGATTCAAAGCCCACCAAGCCCCCTCTCCCGGGGCTCTAACTACAGTGAGCTTTTCTTCTCCTGAGGCCCCAGGCTTTCTCCTTCTTATTCTCTGCCTCCTCTGCCTCCTCCATAAATCTGAATTCCCAGGGTACCTCCTCATTCCTCCTTGAATTCTCTCTCACAGTTCTCTTTGCTGGGGTCCCAGGAAGGAGTCCAGGTCCCTTGTCACTTACCGAGATTCAAGAGGGTGCAGAGCACAGTGGAGGCCAGCAGAAAGGTCCCCTGTCTTGTGGATGGTCTCATGGTGTGTGAACCTGCAGTCCCTGGTCCTCTGCCCTTATAGGAAGCTGAGGAGGGGCGGATCCAGACCCACCTTCACCCTGGGGTGAGAAATAGTTGAGGTCAGAACCCAGGGCAGTCGTCTGAAGCCTCCAGGTTGAAGAGGCGGGACCAACATCCAAAAGGGACTTCACCTTGTGTCCAGATCAATTCTCCACGGGAACCTCAGGAGTCTTCCTGTCACCTCTTCCATCAGGACCCAGGTCACTCTGCCCTGTTTTCTCACCTTTCAACCCCTCCTCTAAACTCAAGATCGGTCCAATTACTTGATTACCTGTGAATTATAAAACACCTGCAAAGACTGAGATTCCCTCGCTCCATGTCCTCTCTCTTCTCAAGGAGGCGCCCAGCGTGGGTGGGGTCCTACCTGGGAGCACCTAGCATGTCCAGACTAGTCTTGTGGGGGCCGAATGCCTTGTCTCCCTTCCCTTCTCCTTTGCATTCTTGGCTTATACTCCCTCTTCTGTATTTGGACTGTCTGCTGTTCCAACCCCACCCAGGGCTGACTCCCTGGGTCTTGAGGGGATGAACAGAGAGGCACTTGTCAGGGGTCAGATGTGGGCGTGGTAGAAGACAAATGCCCGCAGGTCACATATTGGGAAACTGAGGCATTTGTAGAAGCACTCTAGGCTGTGTATAGTTTGGAAACATGCTCGTGTTCTATCCTTTCCTCCTTCTCTTAGCCTCAGGAATTGGGCTGAGAGGGATCTGAGTTGTTTTGTTGTTGTTTACCCTTTATTTTATTTATTTGTTTTTATGTGGTGCTGAAGATCGAACCCAGTGCCTCACACGTGCTAGGCGAGCGCTCTACCACTGAGCCACCACCCGAGTCCCCCCAAAAAAGGGATCTGAGATTTTTATCGTGTTTGTGTACGT